CACGGCCATGTATAATTAAAATATATCAATTTTAGTTCAAATATAAGTATTTATCGAGTATGTTCTTTTGGAATATTTTGTCTAAAATTCTACTATTTAGCAAAAAAAAAAAAATATTTCTTACAAACATCCAATTAATGTATTGAAATTTTTGCTAAATAGTATAATTTTAGACAAAATCTTCCAAAAGAACATACTCGATAAATACTTATATATATGGCCATGTAACAACATGGTCATGTATAATTATACACTGAAATATACATGGTCATGTAACAACATGGCCGTGTAACAACATGGCTATGTATAATTATACACTGAAATATACATGGCCCTGTAACAACATGGCCGTGTATAATTGTACATGGCCGTGTAACAACATGACAATGTATAATTATACACTGAAATATACATGGCCATGTTGTTACATAGCCGTGTATAATTGTACATGGCCGTGTACTTTCCAGGTCAACTGCCACGTCACTTCCGTCATGTCCACGTCAGCAATTTCCGTCAATTTTTTAACGGTGGAACCAAAATTGATAAAAATTGTTTATAATGGGACCAAAATTGATTGAAATTGATTATATTGCGACCAAAATTGATGAGTTTTTTATATTGGGACCAAAATTGATAAATTTTGGTTATATTGAGACCAAAATTGATGAATTTTTTATATTGGGACCAAAATTGATTAATTTTGATTATATTTGGACCATTTTTTTCCCTTTAATTTAAAAGCAAAACTAAACAATAAAAATTGAATCAACAAAATAAATAATAAATCAAAATTAAATTGACAGGACACATTTAAATTTATCGATTAAAAATAGGGGAACAAATCAATGATAGAAATGAATATATGGTGTTGAGTAGGCTAATTAATAAATATTGTATGTGCAGATTATTAATATGTAGGATTAATAAATTGTTTCGAATTTAGGATTTATAAGAATTAAAATAATACTTTTTTTATCCTATAATAAAAGTTGACATCATGATTTTATAGTAATCAACAGGTTCCTATTTTTATATTAGACCCATCTATTTTTATTTTTTTTTTTATCTCTTATAAATAAACATATATTTTTATCTACGTTAATTCTCTATTTCATATAAAATTAATTTACATTAATCATAAATAAACATATTTTTTTATTTACGCGTAAAAGTTTATTTTTTCTTCAAAATGATATTTATGTCATATATTTTTAATTGAGATATACTTCATCCGTTCCAAAATAATAGTCTTATTTTGTCATTTTCGTTCGTGCCAAAATAATAGTCACATTTTTATTTTTGGTAACTATCTTCCCACTTTTTTACAAAATTATCCTTGTTTTATTAACAATAATTACATAAAGTAAAAACATATTGGTCTTTTACAAACACTTTTATACTTATTATCAATATAATACCATTATTCCTTCATTTTCATGCACATCTCAAATGTTTCTATTATTTTAAGACGAAATGAGTAATAATTAAAATATTTAAATAAATATTTTAAATTTTTTTTAATTATATATTAATTTTTATTTTAAAAATACCAACGACATCACTCAAATAATATAATTAAAAAAATAATATCTTAATCTACTATCATTAACTCTTTAATCCCAACTATCTTAAATATTATGACCAGATCAAATGTGTCAAGTATTCCGGGTTGGAAGGAGTACAACAATAAAATAAAAAAATATGTTGTTTCAAAATATGGTTTACCTAACTAAAAAAAAAAATATTTTATCATTAATATATATATATATAATATATTTATTCTGCTCATTCAAAAAAAAAAATCAATAATTCAAATTAAAATACTACTATTATTTTTTTTATATTTAATTAACAAAAACTTCAAACTAAAAATATTAAACAAGTGATTCTCTTCGAGTTTCACGGAAATAGAACTTGATGATGATGATGATGATGATGATGATGATGATGATGATGATGATGATGATGATGATGATGATGTTTAATACTCCTTTCGTACAATATATATTATCCTAAAGTATATTTGTACGGTTATTTAAGGTTTTTTTTTTATATAAATTGACAAATTTATCTTTTATGGTAATGTAGAAATTAAAAGTGGTAAATAAATTAAGCGTAAAAAATAAAATTTATATTTAAAAAGGAAAATAGAACAATAATTGTTGGGATTCCAAATAAAAAAATATGACATTAATTTGTGAACGGATGAAATAAAATTCATGTCAAAATCATCAATATATATATATATATATATGCAATTTAAACAATAATTTAAAAGGAAAATCGATGAAAGAAAATCTTGGATAGAGTTTCTTCTCATTTTCTCTTTGTTCAAAAGATAAAATCGAAAGAATCAAAATATATTTTTTTTTAAATAAAAAATATAACATAACAAAACAACCTCTATGTAAATTTAATCATATAAAAAATGTTTGGAATTTAAATTTGGTCACGTTATATGACATCCGCAAAAACATAATTCAATTTTATTATTATTATTATTTTTTTATGACAAATCAAATTCACTTCTTAGATATATGGGATGATCAATATTAATTTCATTTTTGACTTAACCATGGTTGTTAGGGTGCTAATTTGATCAAATCGATACTATGTTGATTTGATCTAATCTACCCATAAAAAAATAGAAAATATAATATTGTATCAAATAAAAGCATGTTGAGTTATTTATATAATATATTGTACTGTATAAATATTTTTAGTGTACTGAAATAAATAATATACTATGCTATGTAGAATTATATCATATGTGTCACATATGCATTATTTGTCTTATATATATATATATATATATATACTGACCGGATTAAATCAATAATATGTTGAATCGACCAAATTAGCATCCTAACTGAAACATAACTCAACATAATAAATGTCATTGTACTTGCATTATACAACACTAATAGAAGTATTTTTATTTTTATTTTTCTCTTAATTTGTACTATGTATGAATATCATATTCATATTCAAAATCCGACACGCAAAAATAAACTTAATACTTAGTTAAGGGACGAGGTAGTATATCAAGTTTCTATATTTTGGATTAATTTTTATTTCCAAATATAACGTAGTAAATTAATGTTATTACATTTTCTTAATTAAAATACCATAAAATCAATTTTAATCAAATTTTTAAATTTCTTTCAATCATTATAAGCTAAAGCTACAAGATTAAATATTAAATCGATTTAACAGTTTTACTAATTAAACATGTTTAAGAAGGACTCATCTAGTTCTTTTTCGATATCGAAATTGTCTCCTTGCGTATGTGAGAGCGAGCTTCGCTCCGATGATTTTGGTTTCGAGCTACGTGAGCATTCTTCACGAGATGCTCCACCTCGACAACTTTTACTGTTAGCTTTCGACTAGATTTCTTGAACTTTCTTGTGAGACATGTTGGTTTATTTAAACTAACTGAATTTGTTCATCAATCTCTTGATGGAATGCGTTACTATTACATCATTCTAGTTTTCTATCAATGGAAGTATCCATGGATTTTTCAAATGATGAAAAGATCTTCGGCAAGGTGATCCTTTTTTTTTTTTTTCGTACCTCTTTATTATGTCATGAGCTTGAGATGGACTATCACCCGAGCTTTGAACCCCTCAAAATCGGCTACTTGGATTTTGAAGATGATATTATTCTCCTCTCTCGGAGTGATGCACATTATAAAGGAATTCTCATGAACTGTTTGAATAAATTAGAAGTAACTTTTGATATCTTCCTCATTTCAAAATTCAATATTTTGGTAGTCGGTTCCTTAATTCCTAAAATAAATCAACTCGTTTCGGTCACAGGATTTCAACGTGGCCAAGTGTCATTTAAGTACCTGTAAATTAAAATTAACCCGGAAAACCTAAATTGACTCAATTTGATGGATTAATTAATTCAATCTCTAAACTTATTAGATATTGAAGTTGTTGCAACTTGTCTTATGCTAGATGGATTGAGCTTATCCGTTTGTGATTCAAGGCGTATACGGCTTTTGATTCTACATATTCCCCATGCCCTCGACGTGCCCCACCATATTTCGAAATTGTGTCGGATTTTTTCTTTGGAAGATCTTCTCAATTGTGGTTGTGTGGAAAAACAATGTGATATCCAAAAGAAGAGTGAGGTCTTGGCCTTCGATCCTTTCCTACTTGGAATCTCGATCTTCTTACCAAATTTATCCGGTTGCTTTATTTGAACAATGAGTCTCTCGGGATTCAATGAATGCACCACTATTATTTTGGATATAAAAAATTCTGGCAAAGATCGCCCTTCCACCTGAATTCGTATTTTGTTCACTGTTTATTCCAGATTCAAGACAAGCACATTCACTGCTATTGTCCTTTTTCAAGGAATGTATCTTTGAGTCTTTTAGTGAATTTGCCTTCCGGTTCCGAATCATTAATGTATAGATCTTCCGGGTATGTCCGGCGTATTTATTCTTTATTCTTTACTGCACTACTTACCTTTGTCCCACTTGAATGTACTTTTTTTTATTTTTTATTTGGTAGAAAATTAAAAAATAATGATATTTTATTTATTAGTAAAAATATGTAAAATATTTTAATACTTTTGAATTTTAAAATGTAATTAAAATATATAATGATATTTTTAAAAAATAACATATAATGTAGGACGGACGCTTAAATAAAAAAAAATATATAAATTAAACTGGACAGAATGAGTATAAAATAATTATATTTATAATAGTATATCTATAATTTAAATTAAAATTACAATTATTATTAATATATAATTCATTTTACTAAAATTAAAAAAATAATAATAATAATAAGTTTTTTTAACTAAAAAAATATTATTATTTGTTAATTTCCTCTAAAAAAACCTCCAAACAACCTTTCGAATGGAAACGAAAATAAAAGTTTTGTTCATTAATATTAATCAATAACAAAAATTCAATTTTGTTAGGTGAATAGTAGATACTCAAAAAACGAAGAATATATATTATTATTATACAGTCAGCAGCATTTTCCACGTTTGGCTCGTGCCCGGCGTGCCTTCATTGCGGCAGGCACGCGCCGTGAGCGAGGCGGCACGTGACGAGTCTACTCCGCCACGGCGGGAACCTCCATCGCAGATTCCCTCGCCATTACTCCTCGGCTCAGTTTATATATACACGCCATCCAGTTCCCTAGCAACGGTTTTCATGTTCGTAATCATCGGATTCGGAATTTCATCCGCCTCTCCTCCCCAGTTTTCTCTCCGAATCCTCCCTCCGATTCGCCGCCGTGGAATCACAAGCTAGCTCCCTACAATTTTTCCGATTGCTTGCCGTCGCGATGGCGGCGTCGATCGGGATTCATACCGGCGCGAGATTATCGATTCCCTCAGGTTACGTCTCCGGCGATTCGACATTCTCCGCGAAGTCTAATTTGTCGATCTGCAGTAGAATCAAGCCGCCGCAGGGTTTATCCGCGTCGGCAGCATCCGCCGCCGTGTCTCCGCCGATCGAAAAAGGCGATTCTCGCGGCGGAGCGTCTCCGGAGAAGATCGATGCGTGGATGAGGGAGTCGGTGGCGGATATTGTGAAGAATCTGAAGCAGGCGCCATTGCTGGTGCAGATCTATGCAATGAAGGATGGGGAAGTAAGGATCCAAACGGAGAAGGCGAATGTGGAGAGATGGCCTGAGGTGAAGATCCAGTGGGAGACAGGGGAATCAAAGCCAGATGGATTAATACTTGTGGATGAACTGGAGGAAGAAGAGAATGGTGATGGTAATGGCGATGGTGAAGGCGTGACAAGGGCGTGGGGGGTGGTTGTACAGGGGAAGGGGGTAGGGTTGGGTGGTGAGTATGGACCAGCCTGCTACTTGCTGAAGACGAACAGGGTGTTGGGTGGGATGGGGTTGGGGTTCTGCACTCATTTCTGCTTGATGAAGGTCAACAATTTCAGGGATACTGCTCTCCAGCAGTTGAGGGATTCTTGGCTGCTTGCTACAGACCACTGATTTGATTTCATTTGATTTTGAATTGCCCAACCCATTGATTCTTTGTTGTTAAGAATGAACTTTGTTGCATTGCTGCAGGATATGGGTTGGGATTAGACTTGGAATTGGATATACATACACAAATAATAATCAAAGATTGATTGAAATATGCACAACTTACTGTTCTATGATTGATTTCTTGTTTTTGATTGATTTCTTGTTCTATGATTGGCTGTGTGAAATAATCAATGCCCAATTTGATATAACATAACAACAAATAGGCACAATAAGATTGGATGAGGTATATATATACAAACATAGCACTGCAAGATCATAGACATGGAGCCCCAAACCTAAAATAATAACTACTTTCCAAACATGTTACTTCCTCTATGTATCTAACTAAGAACACCAACTAATGTTACCTATATGCACAACTTTACAGCCTCTCGACTCATCTCAAGGCTTTGCAGAAGGGTTCTCGGAAACTTTGGCAAGCGATCGATATTGCAGCTTCACACTTTCTGCATTGTCCAATGTCTTCACCACATACCTATCAGAAAAAAGCACCACAAACTTGACAACCTTTCTCAATGCCCCACCACATTGTATCATTAGGTTTGTAGTTTGAACTTGAAATGAGGTTGCATCATTAGCTAGCTAATGGTAAAGAAGAAATCACAAATATATGGTCTGCGGCTAGAACCTATTCACGACGTGGGATGTTTATTTTATAACCATCAAGACTTACCATCCATTCAAGCACTGAGTTGTAACAATAGCTTCGCGCCCAACAAAACGGGGTGGTGTTCTCTTGTTTCCCTGGAATCACTTTTCAAGTTAGAAATTTCTTCATAACAGATCAAGTAAACATAAACTTCGGATTTTCTTCGCAGAACCTTTATGATAACCCTGTCAGTAACGGAAAATGGAAATTGAGCTCCCCTTGCTCTTAGGTGATCGGCAAACATGGAATCATAAGTATTTTTGTCCTACACAAATGGTAGTACTAAAAAACAATCAGAATACGAGAGGGAAAATGGGGTATGCAGGATAACATGAAATCAGTACAGCACACTTATAAACAATAAGTTTCACGAATAGTTTTAGATACGAAGAAATACCCTGTCATATCTTTCCCTCCGTCTTTTCAATGAACGATTAATCTGGAGCTCTTCTTCCCTCCTGAATGCCTGAACAGCATGGCGTAGAGCTACACAAAAGAAAGGTCAAGTAACTTGACAAATGCAAAGAATATATAGATGTTCAATATCCACTCATCAGTGATATATAATGTGTAGTAATAATAACCTAACTGTGATTAGAATTTAGGAAATAGATATAATCCTTAATGCATTAATTTCAAAAAAATACAGTGTATCCAAAGTCAAGAATTATAGGCATGAAATATATATGTAGCTACAATAATTTTGAATTAATGCAACATATCCAGTTTTCCATGTTAATGAATGATAAATCAACTTACACAGATTTGGAGCAATACTGTCCTCAGACACTGGATGTGAGCAAGAATAGCATGTTTTCTGAAAATGCAAGTTTTAATATTAGGCAAGCTACGTTTACAGCCGCTAAAAACACCAGAAAGTGAAATAGCCTAGTACTAAGAACAACTTAAATGAAAACAGCTTAAAAATTTTGGGTAACTTTGTTATAGAAGTGTTCACTCTAGACAAAATACTGCAGCTATTAGATTGAACATAAGTGAGCATCAGAATATCCAAAACTCATCAATTTTCAGATCATATGTGAAAGTAAAAAAAACCGATGACAGCTCAACTGAGTTACATAAAAAATTCTTGTTTTATCCATGGAACATATATCTCCATTATAGCCTGTCAAGAAAGATTCTTTAAAATAGGGTTTCAAATTAAATCTGAAGTTCCTTCTAATGAGAAAAGCAATTAAACGACCAATCAAAACTATACCCCCTAAATATTTAGCAAAATTAACTGGATATTTCTTGTCGCGATATGTACAAACTTTCAAACCAACATGCATGTACACGAAATGTAAAATTTATACATAACTCTTTCTCTACATATACAATAAAAATTTCATTATTAACCAAGATAACAATTACTTGAATTTAAAAATAAATAAATAAATAAATAATTTGCCTAAATCCATAAAAATTCACACATTACCATCATTATGTTATATCATGCTACATATATAAAAATATAGAATCAACTAAAATGCTTACATTATTCATAATTTCTATCATATAAAGATTAAAAAATCTTTTTCTTTTTTAATTTGTTTCACATATCACAAATATTAGTCAACTATGGTAATGAATTACAGACTTACAGTTCTAATTATTTGTTGTATTCCACCGCTACCAAAGGAGTGTCCACAAGGCAATATCATAGCATCATCCATAAGAAGGCCACTGCACAAGGGCGAGTTAGCATCATAAGTGCTCATGAGTCCAAGCATAACTCACTGCGTTGAATAATATAAATAACTACAAAAGTTAACCAAAATCATATGTAAGCACTCTTGATATTCATCATTCTTTTCACTCCTGAAATTAAATGAAACAAAAAGAAAGAGAAAACAAGTTTCATGATAACCCAAAAATAAAATCGAACTAGTTTAATTTCTAGATTATTGTTCACCTGGAATTACAAATTAATGGCAGGTTTCTAGAAAACGAATGTCGATCATGTATCTTAAAAGCAATTTCCTATATTTGGTTTAGAGAAGCAGCAATACACCATATGAATCAGCTCTTAAAAGAAAATGCATAGAAATAATTAAAGGTAAAATGATGCATTGTAGTCCTATTCCTCATAATCTCATTAAGAAAGCTGCATTGGTATAAGTCCAGCAATATAAAAACCTAGCAAAACAAACCCGGATTTCCAGATTAACCAATTAAAACTTCAATTTAGCTCAAGAAGAAACTACTAAAGTAAAAACAATGAGACAGAAAGACATGAATGGCAGAATATGTATGTATATACCTTATAGGGTCTGAGAATATAGTCCTCAGGGGATCCCCTGGTTCACAATAATATGAACTCTCCTTTTTACCACTGAAACCACATTCATTCTCCAATGTCATCTCCTTCTGCCTTGATGAAGAGCTTGGACCTTCTGCCCCATTCAAGTACTGCATATAATATATTTCCCCTCCTCTGGCATTCATCACTTCACCACTATTGCTATTGCTGTTTCTTTCATGTAATCTCTGCGCTACATTTCCCTCTTTGAAACCTAAAGTTGAACATAGAATACTATGTAATGAAGACTTCCAGATAAGGAAGGACCTTTATGGTATCTTACTGTTCTTTTTTTCCAATGAAATGATGAGATTATTGCAGTTGACATTCAAACCTACCCAACAACGAAATGTGTTTCATTTTCTGGCTAGTGCTGTACGCCTCCTCGTTTTGATTCCTTTCACTGAGTTTGGCGACAGTCACCATGCTCGCCAAATTGGGTTCTTCCTCCTCCTTGTCTTCATCATCGTCAACCTCGTCGTCATCATCGTCGTCTTCATCATCCGCTTCCGATACGTCGCCACCAGAGCTCCGGCTGGTCGTGTTCCACGGGTGGCGAAACTCAGCCGGCTGCGGCTGATGCTGGAAATAGTGGCGATTACCAAGGAAGCTAGCGGTGAGCTCGCGAGTGGTCACCTTCGCGCCGGGATCGGCGACGGCGGCAGAAAGCCGGAGCGGGCCGCAGCCGAAAGCATCCGGGAAAACGAGCTGAGGAGGCTGGTTGAGGCCCGCGTGAAGTTGCGGTGCTGGAACAGCGCCCAATTTATCGGAAGCCATTATTAGGGTTAAGAGTGGAGGTTCAGAGAAGTGAAAAAGGGAAGAGGGTGGGTGTTGATAAGGAAAACAAAAGGAACAATTAGGGTATAGTATAGGGTTTGGTTTGAACAGAAGAAGGTTAAAACGACGTCGTAGTGGTTTCAACAGAGCAGGTTCGTTCTACAATATTGGATTGGGAAATGGAAATACATATGGATGATTGGAGAAGAAAAGGAAACTATGACCCGGTCTCTTCAATAAAAGAAAAAAAATAAACTAAGTGTGGCTGCTGGGATTCGAGCCCAGGTCTCTACGGCCACAACGTAGAATTCTTACCACTAAACTACAGCCACTTGATTGGTTGGTTTAGTCAAAATAATATATTTATAATATAACAGATATATCATTACTAAGGATGTTAAACGGGGCGAGTTAGCTCCGGACTCATTCTGGATCAGCCCTTCAATGGGGCGGATTCGGGTCTACAAAATATGCTTCGGAGCGAGTTGTGGATTTTAAGTTTTAAACTTGACCGAGTTTGGGGTGGGTTACGGGTTTTACTAAAAATTCGTCCCACTCCGGACCCGGATTCGAATTCGGATATTTTAATAATTATAAAAATGAATATATATATTTATATAATTTAAATTATATTACATATTTATTTTTAAAAAATTAAATATATACTAAAACTCTAATTTCTAAATCAAATTTGTCCATTTTTTTTTCTTTAATTCTCTTTACAATTGGGACTATTGTCGTCGCGTCTCTGGCTGCCGACCGCCTGCGGACTTGTTTTTTCAACTAAAATTTTGTCTTGTCTATCCCTGACCGTCATCATTATGAACCACCGCCAACATTTTATTGTTAAATTTTTTTAGTGTTTTAACGCTTATTCTTTTAATATTACATTATTAAAAAAAATCATTTTTTTTTTTAAATTTGGAATTTGCCGGATTGGCCCCAAGACCCGCCCTGGAGCTGAGCTGAAGCAGGGCGAGACGAACCTGGAGCCTAATATTTTATAATGGGGCAGGTCCCGGGACCTCCAGAACTCGTTCCGTATCCTCTCCTTTTGACATCCCTAATCATTATCTAAGTGCATATAGGGTGGAGTTTTTTTTATGACTTCTATTTTTATATGGTAGCTTTTTCCATTCTTGTCAAATAAAAATCAAATATAATGATCTAAAAATATCCCGGTTAAAAATGAATATAACATGGACGGACCATCGAGCAGTCCAAGCTCTATGAATGCATTTTTTTCCTTGGTTTTTGTTCTCTCTTTTAAAAATTGATGGTAAACCATTGTACAATCTTTTTCTTTATATCACACAAAATTTTGATAAAATTATTCATAATTTTATTGTGGTTTTGAAATTTAGAGTAAATTTCTTATTTACTTTAAAAATGATATGATATTATCTTATACTTTAAAAAAAACGTGGCATGAAACTCCTATGTAGTTTTGAAATTCGGCGTAAATCTCTACTTTACTTTAAAAATTGCATGACGCTCTCTTATACTTTCAAAAATATTGCATAAAACTCTCTTGTCGTGCAAAAATATAGATAGAAAATTATCTTCTCATCACACAAAGAATGTTTAATGGGAGTGGATTTTTATGCTTTTTGAAAGTATTCATGCAATTTTTTAAATAAGAAAGATTTTACGCATGAATTTCAAAACTACATGAAAGTTATGAACAATTTTACGTAAGATTTTTGACACATCAGCTCCATGCTCCATACATTGCATTGAAGCTTTTTTCTACCTATCATGTCCATTGCACATGCTCTAATCTATTTCGATCCGACTAACAAGTGTCTACTACACGTTATTTATATATATATATGAAGTGATACATATCCTTTTTGTCCTATTTCAATGTTTGTTTTTTTTTTTTTGAAATTTTATAGTAAATTAAAAATTAATAATATTTTATTGATTATTGAAATCTGTAAAATGATTTTAATATTTTTATTCTTTATATTTTGTTTATAAATTAATTATATATGTAATAGTATATTTGTAATTTATGTAAAAATTAAAGGTATTTTAGTATTAATATGTGATTATTTTTATTATAATAAAAAATAAATATTTTCAGTGGAACGAAAATGTTAAAAATGTTACTTTCAGTTAGAAAGAAAATAATATTTTTGGTATAAAATAAAATATATTGATATTTTATTTGTAGTTAAATTTTATGTTCTTGCGGATGAGTGTTTTAATTTAGGTGTAAATTTAATAGTATTTGTATATAATAATAAAAGTACATATAAACCACTTATCATAATGAAACAATTAATTTTGAATCGACAAAATACTAGATTTGGACAATAAATATAAGACACGTGTATATTTCTTCCACTCCATTTTAATTTATACATTTGGTTAATTCCACACGAGATTATATATTTTCTATTATAATAAAAATAATATTTAGATTAATAACTTTTACATAAAATATACACTTACTGCAACATATATATATATATATATAATACAAATTTTGATATTATATTGATAGTTGGTAAAAAGTAAAAGATATATGTAAAAAACTTCTTTACCCTTATGAGTGTATTAAGTGTAAAAAGCAGTGACATTTGTGAAATAATAATGAAAATGTAGGGATAATTTTACGGTGATATGAGTATTTATAGAAAATAAGACTATTGTTTTGAGAAAAAAAAAAAGGTAAACAAGACTATTATACTGTGACAGATGGAGCATTTTTTATGTGTGATCTTTCTACGCAATTTCTTTATTTTTATCTGTTTTCTTTTCTTTTATTGTGATCTAATTACACAAAATCATTGCATTCGAAGAGAAAAAATCAATATAAAACTCAATCTAGAATTTTAGATTTTTAGAAGAATTCATCTTAATTAAAAAAAAAAAAAAAAAAAAAAAAAACCTAATGAAACATATAATATAATAATAATAAGGACACGTGAAAAATAACAAAAAGCAAAGAACATATAAAAAAAAAACACACGGAGTAAATAAAGAAAGCACATAATATAATTATAAAAAAGCTTCCGAGTAACTAAGAAAAATATATAATATTTAAGGGTGTGTTTGTTTGGAGATTGGATTTTATATCCACTGTTCATCTCATTTTTTCCTCTAAAAACATCAACGCCTATTTTTATTTTTTTATATTATACTAAAAATTAATTTTATATTCAAAACATCACATTAACACCTATTTATATCACATCATACAACTATTCAAATTCAAAATTTTTTACTATATAAATTCCAACTCAAAATCCAAACCCCAAACAAACACACCATAACCTCCTTCAGACTCTAAGCTCTTATTTATTTTTGGTCTATTAATTATCATATCAAAATAGAGTATAAATTTTAAAAAAAAAATTACAAAAAAAAAAATTTATTTGTAAAAAAAATTATACAAATATAAAAATATTTTTAATATTAAGTACAATACAAAATATAAAAATGACTCTTAGAGACTGATATAGGGAGAATTATATTTAACAATAGAATTTACGTTATGATATCAATCTCTTATTTTCATTAAAATTATTAGAACACATATCTGATATAATAATATTATTTATCTATTTCAAAATATGAAGTACTACAATTCACCCATTTACAAAAATATGGCATCCCAAAAAAAAAAAAAAACTAAAAAAAAACCCCACAATATCAATTTTTAAAATCTAATAAAATTCAATCAAACTTCAAATAAATACACCCTGCCCTCATAACCACATGAAAATTGAGGCTGGGGTATTAAACAGACATTCAGACATGAAATTTCTTATTACAACAAAGAGAACAAACGCAAACAAGAAAAATTAAATTGGTGAATCATCACCCGATAGTAGCATAATCACATCTTCAACACTGCCTGCCTGCCTGCCTGGTTGGGTGTTTGTTTTGGAAAAAAGAAACCCAGCCTGCCTACCTGGCACAGGAAAGATGTAACAACTGATTCCTACATAGAAACTTTCGAACTACCTATCCCACAAACAAGAAACAACAACCATACCTTATGAAAACCAGCAACCATACAGTTCTATTTCTCTTCCAGGCGACGGAGAACCGAATCTGCAAAGCTTTGTTGCCTGTCATGAGATTTCATACTTTAGCTATATATGTCATATCTAATTCAAGTTGAATGAAATTATTTGATTGAATAATTCAATCACTTGCAAGATATTGGAGAATCACAAAGGAAAAGGCTTACTTTTGCTCGCGATGCTTTGGGCTGGGACGAGAGTATTTCAAATATCCATCCCAAGGCACCTTCTTGAGCCCAGCTCGCACGGAGATGATGTCCCTCACCCTTGAAAAAACAAAAACTATGTCAATGCAAAGCACGGATTTCGCTACATTTATTCAGGAATGCCCAAGGAAATAAAAAATCAGATTTGGTTGAAAAACAAGCACCTTTCAGCAAATTCAATTGGAGTTTCCCCCGGTTTCAGATTTTGGGGTTCCAAGTACCAAACATCACAAACAACAGCCCAAGATGTCATAAGCTGCAACAAGTGTGTTGTGAAGGATTGCCTGCGGAAGAGTTAGTTCATAAGTATGTTTTTGAAAGAAGGCTAATCTTGATTTTGCATCATTATTAGAAATCTGATATGAAACATCATGTTGGGTAAGTTGGAAGTTTTGAAATCTAGATTCTTGTAGTTAGTTGTGCAAATAATTGTTAGTATATTCAGTTTACACAAAACGAGTTTGGGAGATATCGAAAGTATTTGAGTAAACTATGGAGAGAAACCTAAATCACATAAATATAAGACTGACAGTTGAACTGGTATTGGAATGAAAAGTACCATTAAATAACTTACTTTCGGCTGTTCCAGAAGGCATCAACGAAGATCTTGTTATACTTTATTGCAATTGGACATACGGTGCAGCCAAGTTCAAAAGCACCCTGAATACCATGAAAACATAAGATATATATATATATACTAGCTACAAAAGTGAAGATAAACACATTGAAAAACATAATTGTCAAAAACAGCAAGTGAATGATTCAGTAAGGTACTAAGGTCCAATTAGAATACACATGCTGAAACTTTCCTTAACTAACCAATAATTCAGAAAGGATCAACATTATCAATATTAGGAAAAATCAAGTAGTATATTATAAATGATGAAGAACCATGTGAAAAAATGACCACCTTCTTAAACATCACTGTGTAATGGTTGTTCACACAAGTTCCCTCAGGGAATATAAGCAGAGGATTACTATCCGACGCATTAACATGTTCTCTTAACCTGTATAGAAATAATAAGAAAATCAAGATAAGGAATAGGAAAGATGGTGAAATTGTAGAATATTATTGAGCCCATCATGGTAACACATACTTTCTTGCAACAATTTCGCGATCCTTGGACTCTGAGCGGTTGAACCAGATACACCCTAAACTTTCCAAGATGGTACTTTGCAATAATCCTATGCAACAACAAGACCAAGAAAATAATGAATAGATAAATAAAAAGCAAAGGAAAATATAAAGAAAGCATTCAGCGAACAAACGCCAATTCTAACTTAACAAATAAGAAGATTATTATCTCAATATTCAGGTAAATTCTCATTTAGCAAATAACCCAACAAGATACATTACCAGCAATGGGAAGTGTTGTTCCCGTAGAAATAACATTAATCCAACAAATAGTTCCAGGAAATTAATCACCATCAATTTTAAGACTACTTTCAATTCAGATTTAGATTCCTCAAATCAGTGCTAAATGATTGGAAGAACAATTCAAGTCCATTAAGATAATATAAAAAATGTCCCCAATCAATTATTTACTAATTAAATACTCTTTCAACTACATAGATAATAGATCTTATTATGGATAACAAACTAGTGTAAATAGTTAGGTAAAAAAAACAGTAAAGATAATCACACATTTAGCATGCCACATAAAACAGGATTTCGAATGGTCAAAACAATGATAATAATAGTGTAAAATATCATGCATCAACAATAAATAAATAAAAGAAGCTGAAATTTCTACAATAGTTACTATATTAAAAGAAACATACCAACCCACCCAGGATGTTTTTGCATGATCACTGCAAATGCAGTCATTTGTTCCAAAACAATGAAATCAATCATGGATGTATGATTAGCTACAAAGACCTGAACAACACATTCCAAATTAGATTTTAAAATTTGTACATCGCCATAATTGCAAAGTAAATGCAATAAACACTAATAGCAGCTAATATACAGCACATATAGCTCACCTGCTTAGGCCTCATGCTGGGCCGCGGACCATGGTACTTGACTACCCCAGTCCATGATGCAACAAAGAAACTGCAAATCAACTCCACCAAACCTCTCTGATAAGAAAATAAAATAAGATGAGAAAGTGGGAAATGGCCATTCAAGGTTATATATGGCTTACACACAACAAGGCCAAAAATCTTGTACTAACATTATCTTATCTCTACTTTTGAAGCTTCCCCAACCCCACCCAGTCTTTAGATTTACATATAATTATCTAACTGTCATTGTACCATGATCTCCCAAGAAATAAATTGGAATATTGGAGTACTTATTTCCCTAGCACTATGTAACCGAGACAAAACTAAAATTGAGGAAAGGGAAGGTATAAATTCTCAAGATGACATCCAAACAAACATTACATTTGAAAGAGAACTAATCCATCATACCTCTAAGTTTTTTCTAAGTTTGTCATGACCTTTTAGCAGGAAATGCACCGGAAAATAGCATGAAAGAAATATAATCCATCCTACCGTGAGCACGAAAACCCTGCACTTAAGGTGAATTTCATCAAAAAATTCCCAGAGCATACTGTTGGGCAAACCTATGTGCTACTCAATTTGAATATATCAAAGATAAAACAGAATAAGTAGCATGCATCATTGTAGCTAAAAATGGTGTATTTTTCAATTATTCAGTATCGAAGGATATAACATACATTCACATAAACTCCCATAAGCCCAAAGCTCACCTTAATGGAAAAAGAAACCCGTATCTAACAACAACTCCCAAACACCATAAAGGAAACAAATATATGTTCCAGTTCCAGGGTTCTGGAGGGTTAGACTTGAAGCATCTTGTGAAAGAATCCTGTATTGAACAAAGATTAAGAAATAGAAGAATATATCGATAACTATCCTCATAGACCTGCCGAACTGAGGTATTCACGAAAGAGGATTAAGATATGTGAAGTAGGAAAGCAAGCACCAAATGCTACATTAGTGAAGAAATTCGATAGGAAAACATATCATGGTCAATTAAACCAAAACAAGGCATGTTGCATAATAATGGCTCAGGAACAAAATGGTAAACATGAATATGCTCATCAAGATGGTTAAAAAAGTGGATTAATAGATCGACATTAAAATTAAAAAACTCAGAAAATGCAAGATGGCTTACATCAACAATGGCACCAGCTGCCTCCGTTAGAGTAGGTGAAATATCGAGCAAATCACAGCTAAACAGAAAATCACAATAGCCCGCAATTTATAAACAAGAAATTAGGGATACATAAAAGTTGAAAAATAAAATAAAAGCACAAATCATTACAGGCGGAGTTTTCCGTGGGGTTCTTGAATGGATTCAGAAGGAAGATAATCTTCGATATTTGGGCGATCCAAATCCAATTCAGAGGATGATGTGTTTAGCTTACTCATTGAATGAACGCCTCCGATTCGATGCGATGTGATCCTTAGTTATCACAAATACTAGTCGAGGAAAACAAAAGCATACACCGCATCTATCTTTATAGATTACTTGTTCTAACAAATCCAATATAGCTAACCAAATATTCAAACGAGCATTGTAGCAAAGCGCAGTGCGACCTGTACAGAGGAAGCCGACGAGGAGGGCCCTGCGAATGTGCCAAAATGGGGACGCTACCAAAATTCTCCCAAGAACCTGAACAATCCGAATTTCGGAACACTCTGAGATCGTCTCTTCATCGACTCTGACTCTGTCTATCCATTAGACACACTTTATCTATATATACATACCCTAGTTTTAGATTTTCATTTTTCTTTTTATATATTTGAATATTATTATATTAATTATTTGCAGAAATATTTATACTTAACTTTTTTTTTTTTTTTTTTTTTTTTTATCGGATTATATTTAACTATTTTATCCGCTTTAAAAGTGGGGCCTGAAACTTCAAGATAAATTAGTAAATAATTAAAAATATATATTAATAAAAATAGTTATTAAAATTAAAATTAAAAAATAAATTACAATCAATTATATTTATCATACTAAGTGCAAGGTTACTAAAAAAAATAAAAAAAGTTGTCAAATAAAAAGATTTTGGGAAATAATGTTGGAAAGTTGATAAAGTTTATAAGAAAATATTACTCATTTGATACTAAGGGTGTGTTTGTTTGGGTTCATCTCATTTTTTTTTTTTCCAAAAAACATTAAATCAAACACCTACTTTTTATTTTTTATATTATACTAAAAATCAATTTTACATTCAAAACATCACATCAACACCTATTTATATCACATCATACAACTATTCAAATTCAAAATTTTTTCTATTCAATATTAACTCAAAATCCAAATCTCCAAACAAACACACTCTATGAGGAGAAAGAGATGTATTTTTTTTGGTATACCTTTTTGTTATTCTTATTTTTCTTAGTAATTCTTATTTTTCTTAGCACATCTAACTAGTAGTTTATTTTTTAGTTTAGAGGTGAAAAACAGATTGGTATAAATTTATGAGATTTGACTTTGTTTCGATTCTTTAATATTATGTTGGTGGTAAGTATTTCTATGATTTCAAATTTTAATGTTTAATTACTTTTGATTTAGTTAGACTGTCCATCAATAATTATAACTAATTTATTTAAAAATCAGAATAATTAAATATTTATCGATATCAAATTCATATCCAAAGTATCAATTTCACTCTTAGACTAGAAGTTTATTATTATTGAAGTTAACCTTAGTCCTAGGATATTTTGTAGTGGCGTAATTTTCTAAGGGTGTGTTTGTTTGAAGGATTTTGGAGGATTTCCACTATTCATTCAATTTTTCCCCCCCAAAAACATCAAATCAAACACCTATTTTTCATTTTTTATATTATACTAAAAATCAATTTTACATTCAAAACATCACATCAAACCCTATTTATATCACATCATACAACTATTTAAATTCAAAATTTTTACTATTCAAATCCCAATCCAAAATTCAAATCCCCAAACAAACACACCCTAAATTCATTTTTATTTTTATTCCTTAATTTAAAAATCCTCTTTATTTTTTATTAAATCTAAATATTAAATAATCGGAGATCAAACATGATAATTTTCCTAGAAAATGACCATACTTTTGACTATATTATTCTAATTATATTGTAGAAGTAGACATATATTACATAATCTATCCTCCATCATATGACGAACGTTGTTATTAGGATTCGTTAATGACATGCAAATATATGTTGTCTTTGCATATTTCATTTATACTATACTTTAATAAAATATTAATATACTAAAATCTTTATGTAAAAAATAAATACGGAGAAAATATTATTCTAATTAAAGTATAAAAGTATCAATTAAGTGAAAGTATTTTAATATTTATACACTTACTGTCTATCGAACCTATACTTAATGGATACAAGAGTATATATTGTATATAGTTATAATAAATCTAATTTATAAAAATAAAATATAATAATCGTATATAAATATATTTATGGATATAAGTGTATATATTGTACTACCTCCATCCAATTTTAAGGATCCTATTTATTTTTTTAGTGTTGATCATTGAACATTAATTATTATATCAAAAGAAAAAATTGCAAAAATACTTCAATTACTGTCTTATAGTACTAATTATTTCAACCCGAAAAATAATATTTCCCTTAAAGATCTTGTATTCTTGCTCTAGATCCGCATTCTATCCACACGTCTCTATTAGTATTAGTGTATTATTACTATTCATTTAATTCGAACTTGAACACAGACGTTGAATTCACTTTTATGCTTTCTGTTTCGTCTCTTAATTTTCAAAATTTGAAAAAAAGAAAAAAATCAAAAAAGAGAGGAAAAATTAGTCACAGATAGTTATACAAATATAAAGATAAATAGAACCCTTAAAGCCGAACAGAAGAAATATAACTCATAAAAAATAAATTTTATAAAAATAAAATATAATGTTCGTATATAAATATATCTATATATTTCAAAAAGTAAAAGAAATAAATAATAAATTATAAGTAAATTCTTGGTAAAAATTTTTCGAAAGCATGAATGATAAGAAAGCCCGCCAAATTACTCAATTCAATTTCAAATCACATACTACATTCCAGCTGAACTTAATATCATTAGACAATTATAGTATATAACATTTAAAAACATCAAGAGAATTTGAAGATATGCAAGTTCGTTAATGCTCTAATTGCAGCAAGTATAAGTATTAATACAAATTGACTGACATGGAGGGGATACTAATAATAATCGTAGTAAAAATAAAAAATAAAAAAAAAATCGCCATCCAAAATACATGCATGCTCTCTCTGTACTACATTTTTTTTTTTTTTTTTTTTTTTCAGGATATTAAACTCACCATTTCCGGTTAAAACACACACAAATGTACACTGCTCTAGAATCCTTTCCTCTTACACCCCTGATGAAGTTCTGTTTATCCTCTGAGCACCTAATTTCGGGGCAGCAGCTTTGGTCCCTCGCCCTCGTCCGCCACCTGATGACGGTCTGTGCCCTGCAGTTGTTGGTGGAGGAGCTGCAATGGAAGCCCAAAGGTCGTCGTCTGCTGAGCTGCTGGATTTCAGATTTACTGGCTTGGATGAGGATTTCGGAACTGGGGCAGCAACTGCACCCCATGGATCATCATCTTCGACTAATCGAGTGGCTTTTGCAGAGGGTTTTGAAATGGCTCTAGGAGCAGGCGTTGGTGCAGCACCCCACAAGTCGCCTTCATCATCTTCTTTGTTGGGTTTCAATGTGGTCTGTGGTCTCGCATTAGAAACTGGAAAACCGTATATACGTTAATATGGAATGAACGATTGAAAAGATGTGGGAACTTTGAAACAGAAAGACAAGGGGAAGGTTTTTAAAACTGGTTGTTGATGAGAAATTGGAGTTACCTTGTTTTGGAGGAGGGACGACGGGCCTTTTTTGAGCTGCTTGGATATTGGCAAGAGCAGGAGATGGTTTTGCCTCCTCCAATGGTTCGAGGTCGTCCCAACCATCCTTGTCTGTGTCATGAATGCCATTTTCGAGTTCTCCCCATCCATCAGTTGTTGTAGGGGATGTGTGGGGCTGATCGGCAAAATCAGGTAAATCTGTTGAGGAACTTACACGTACTGGTGCCAAACTTGTACTATCGGTCACTGTAATACAAACATGCTAGTTTCAGAAACGACCATACATTGAGCACAAAGATTATTTAATCATGTAAAGTAAATACAGCCAAAGTGATGATGAGCCTTGGCTAAATGAGGACTGTTTCTGGATAACTATTCAGTCTGATTAGTTAGGCTAAAGTTATCTTTATCCCATCTAACAAAATAACTCTTGTGGGGGTACAAAATATAAATGGAGAGAGTATATTGCACAACATATTAAGCAATTGAGAGGATAAGAGAGAGAGAACAAAAGTGCACCAGAGTTGGAATTGGAATTGATTGAAGACGTAGCAGGATCACTTGTGTTTGATGAGCTTGTACTCTGCTCAGATGGTTTGCCTTTCAATGTCAGTGAGCTCATTGCCCATCTGCATTATCATTGCAATTAAGAAAACTATGAGAGCCATATTCCTTGAGAGAGAAAGGTGTGCTACCTTAATCTAGTTAAGGAATTCCACTACTATGTAACGCGAGATTATGAAGCTCCCAGAGAACGAAAAGGAAAACAAGAAAATAAATACTGTTTCTACACCAGGCTAATCAGTGTTCTTGAGGTACAAAAAGATTTGAATTCATCATTACCCCAGCAAACTTGCATTTCCAGGTATTGGTGAAATTCCAGTGCCTGCTGCACTTGTGGCATCCCCATTGGTTGCCTTCAAAGAGCAAATCATAAGAGACATCAAATATGCAATAACATTAACGAGGGACAAGGAAGAGACAGACATCAAACTATCATCAGAAGATTATGGAAAATTCACTGAGAGAACTAACATAGACAAACATGATAATATATCAGGTTTATGATTTTTAAACAAAATCGAGAAAACTACTACCCAACCAGAATATGAGTTTAAACAATACACCAAGATATACGTGAAGGCCCCTTTCAAGCATCCACTTCATTGGAAGTTCAGAATTGAAAAACTAAAACTAACATACAAGGATGTTAAAAATCATGTAGGGGATCCTTATCCTTGCAAGAACATGAGCACCTAAAACTCTTCTTTCCCAGAATATACCCCACAGAAAACTCACATGCCATAAAATAATGTATAATACGATAAACAAAATAGGGGCAAAATATATAATAAACTTAGTCCGTCATTGAACATTAAAATCAAATGATTGAAATTTAAACAATATATTATACAGCATTTCAGAATGTTACATGCAGACAAGAAACAGCTAAAGACTATATACACACCTTTTCGTGGTATTGTTTCACTAATTGCAAGAACTGTTCAACAGCTTGGAATGATTTCGATCGTACATCACTGAAGCAAGCAGAGAAGTGAGCAAATGATTGACAATAAAGAGTCAGATTTAGCTTAAAAAGTGTTTAATAATGAAGAATAAAAGGTGAGAAAGCATTTTTTTGTGGTCTCCAGTAGCAACATAGAGCATGGAAAGTTTGGAGGGATGCCTACTAATTAGATAATTGGACTACAAGCAACAACAAATAGAGGATAAAGGTAAAAAGAGCAATTCCAAGCATCGATTCCACAGGCCAATAAATCTACAGCCTTCATGTCCACAGCTATAAATAGAATAAAACGCAAGAATGAAGGCTTGTAAGGAAGACTATTACACCAGAAAAATCAGTATCTTACCGCCCATCAGCTTGAAGAGCGGCTATCAGAGTCAGGATAGCATTTTGTGCCCAAATGTCTGAATTGAGGGTAAAGATCTTGCTATTCTTCCTCATGTTTCTATTGACTTGGTCTTCTATGTTCCAACATGCCCGTTTAATATTGTTTATGTCAGTAGATTGATTCAATCTTTAGATTGTTTTATCATCATTAATGACGAAACTTTCTTTATCTAGGATTTCTGGATAGGACGGCCGATGGGAGCCAGTCATGAGTCACTGCGATTTATTATTTTCCTCAATCTCCATCTATCCAGGATTGCTGGACATGAGGGCTTTTTGAAGCTAGTCATGAGTCACATGGTATTTACTATTTTTCCTCAATCTCTGTTTTCCTCTGCCAATAGTCAACGTCTCCACCTATGATCCAAACCTCCTTCATCAGTTATTCGGTCAACCCTATTTGTCTTTGTTGTCATCTTTTGAGTGTAAGTCATGCCAACATTGTAAACAGTCCCATCCATTGTTTCCTAAGCAAGTATGTAACTGGGCCTTTGGATGTACCTTGTGTGCTTTTTGATTTCAATATTTTGTCACACTCGTAGATGATTTTCACGTTGCACATAGCTTTACATGTCGAAAAATCATTTCGAATTAGTCAGTATGTTTTCCTCATTTGTGCTGAAATTCAAACTCAATTTGACTTGTCTATCAAAGTTTTATGTAGTGATAATGGCATAATGCGCCTGAGTGTTTTTCTTCCTCTATGACTTCATACATGTCATCTCACGGTATCATTCATCAGTCTTTATGTGCTTATAATTCTCAGCAATATGAGATTGCCAAACATAGAAACCATCATCTTATTGAAATTTGCCCAAACCCTTCTCATTTATCGCAATGTTCCATTATAGCCGGTTTAGGTGGATGAATACTTACCGTTTGCTACCTCATCAAACATGTGTCTTCTTCTATCCTTTAGGGTGGGGCCTTCATCAATATATGTTTCTAGCTACGCCAATATTCCCTTTGCCACATCGGGTTTTTTTGTTCTTGTTTTGTTCATGATCACTCTTCTGGTATCATAAACTCTCTCCGCATGCTATGAAGTGGATCTTTCTTCGTTACTCTCAACTTCAAAAGGTATACAAGTGCTACTAACCTACACATCATCAATATTTCTTTTCTACTGATGTCAAATTCTTTTAGTGATCACCATTGTATTACCTTTCTTCTTCTCCTCTTATTTCTATAGCCCTAACATTCCCTTTTCTCCAAAACCTTTGTTCCCATTCATCATCTTCAGATTTATCAATGTCATCCTCAGTCTTCCTTTTCCCATCTTAATCATACCCCCTCCTTTGTGGTCTTCGACTTGCCGCTGGTCCTACCCCCTCCAGCATCCGACGACTCCCTCCATTGGCCCCTCGACTACTCCACACGTAATTTTATTTAAAAATTTTTAAATGACCACCATATGTTTCTTTTTTTATAGTTTTATGATATTGTTTCCATCATCAAGTCTGTCTTGAAGGCTCTATTATCCCAGTCAAAGGCAAGCAATGATGGACGAAATGGTGCTTTGAATACGAAATGGTACTTGGGAGCTCATTTGCTTACCTCTTTGTCACTATACCATTGGTATCATTTGGTTTATGCCATTAAAGTTTGTGCAAATGGAAACATAATTATCTTAAGGCTCGTCTAGTTGCCAAAGGTCAAGTCTATGGTCAAGATTATACTAATACCTTCTCTCCTATGGCCCGCTCGTTTAGTTCTCTTGCTCTTATCCGAGTTTCGTCCCTTTATCATTTGGATATTAAGAATGCCTTCCTCCACCATGATCTTCAGGAGGATAGTTTTGTTCCTTGGGGGGAGTTTGATCTTGTGTGTAAGCTTCGTCATTCTCTGACTGGCTTAAAATAGTCACATCATGCTTGGTTTGAGCAGTTTAGTTATGTTGATATTGTCACGACTAGCAGTTATTATGTTGGCATACATGCTCTCAAACAATATTTATTCCAGCAGTTTTCAAACTAAGAACTTAGGATTGCTTCACACTTTGTTGGCATTGGAGTTGCCTCATCACCTAATGGTTTTGTTACATGCTCTCAAACAGTATTTATTCCAGCAGTTTCAAACTAAGAACTTAGGACCACTTCGATATTTTGTTGGCATTGGAGTTGCATCATCACCTGACAATATTGTGATTTTGCAACAGAAGTATGCTCAGGATAGGTTCGAAACACACTTGACAGATTGTAACCCCGTGACACTCTTACGAATGCTAACTCTAAACTCCTTCTAGATCAAGAACCTCTTAACAGATATTGGCCGTTATCAACAATTAGTCGGTAAGCTGAATTATTTCCTGAATTAAACTAATAATTTTCTTTGTATAAACATACTCAGCATGTACAATTACCACATATAATCACTATCAACAAGAATATCAACCAAAGCTCCGCAGAGTACTCTAAACATCATGAGGTGATATAATTCATTGAAACTCTTAATTAAGAAAATGAGTTGAATATGCAGTAAAATTATAGGAAAGGATGAAAGATAATTGTAAAAGAAAATAGACCAGAACCAATCCTATAAATCTAGGGGAAAAAACAAGAAAGAAAGAATGAGAAAAATAATACCTGTCAGGATCAATAGTCAGGACAACAACATTTGGCAAAATTCTAGTTGCAATCTCAGTAGCATCATAATAAGAACTAGTCGCGCACAAAGCCATTATACCTGGCAGAGGGTATAATTGTCAGTGAAAAGAAAGTGCTTAAGCAGGTGTTAAAACATGGGCGAGAGCAAATTTTAAGTTAGTGGGGATGGGAAGGTTGTAACAGAAAGTTGTCACAGGAAAAAGTTTAAGCATGGACAGTAAAGGGAAACTCTAACTCAATAAAATCAAAGAATAGGAGACCAAGAAAAAAAAAAAAAAATCTTGACCTGCTCCTCGTGCCGGAGAGAAAGTATCGCGCAAAGCTCGAACTGTGAATGCATTTATTAGCACTCTCTTCCTTGTCTGCATTCCAGTGAGATGGTAAGAATCTTAACACATTTATATGAGAATGCACTTCTATTGAAAACATCTAGCACTTACCCCTTCATTTAGGTGGCAGGCAATGTTTCCAAGTAATATCGTAGTATTTGTACGAATTGCAGGTTCTTCATCAACCTGCATCGCAAGTTGAAGTTTAAACTCAATTTGAAATATATAGAAGATAAACAGGGAAAAATAGCAGCGCATTTACATTTAAGAGTGTTTGTTGCTAAACAGCAAGAAATCCATACCTGAAGCTTTGAAAGAAATTTCAACAGTGATCCTGAAATTGTACGCTGGGAGAGCTGTCACAAGATGCAAATAGACAACCAAAGAACCAAACGTAACTTATACTGAATGATGGAACCAAACAAGACACTGTCAGCTCAATGATCAATTCTTCCATCTAATGCCATTGATTCATCTTGAACAAGTAACATCAGCAATGTGCAGTTGTGCACTATCATATGTCTCTAATGAGTCACAATATCACAAAATAACATGACTCAGTCACTTTAAAGCATTGGATTAAGCATGTCAGGCGGAGCAAGTTTCAGAATAAACTATGAGAAAACCTGCCCGAAGTAGACAGACATGATCCTGAAAGAACATTTTACCTTAGGAGCCAGCACAAGCATGGATTTCAGCGTCAGTTCCCGTAGAAAAGCGGATGTGTCAGAGAACCCATTAGCAACATGAGGATAAACCTATCAAAGAACATTGAGACAATTTACTTCCAGAATTTTCCATGCAGTTGCGCATAAACTATGATTAACAATAATCACACGACACTGAACCTGTTCATCAACAATTTGCGCAGATAATGAATCGCCATATTGATCAATATGCTGAAGAAGACCAACACGAATGGCGCGATCATTTGATGTAAAGAGTTTTATGATAGTTGGTGACACCTGCAAAACAAAGCATACAGAAAATTACATTCCATTCCTAACCAGTACTGCTAAGACAAACTAAAACAGGACACCGAGACTGCCACACAAATTTCGCAACAGTTACCTTAAGGGTATATTCTTCCGCTGAAAGCCAAGATCCCATTTTCAACAATGCAGTCAAAGCAGGTGCAGAAGCTGAACCAAATTCTAAGGCGGATGCAAGTAACGGAAGCAGCTGGAAGAATTCCAATAATCCAATTACTGAAGCAACTAGCAAGGTACTAACAAAATAACATTAGACTTCAAAAAAGGTACCTTCTTCAGAACTATCTGCCGAGGAAGCTTGTCAGCAAGACTTGGAAGCTTACGGAAAAAGGTATCCTTTTCCACACTGTCCTTCAAATTAAGAATTTCCATAAATTGTATGGTTTCCACCAACTTATTTTGGAAATACTCTGCCAACATCCCACCAAAATATTTTACTCATCAAAATTATTTTCCACATTCATAAGAATAAGATGAATAATAGAAAGGATTAAATGCTCCAACTAATGCAGCCTTATGTATAACAAAAGGATAAAACTGAGAAACATAGTATAACCATGCTACTGTTACCATCATGCTATATAGGTGACAATGAACATTTCAATCCCCAATATCAGAAAGCAGGAAAAAGAACTCACCGCTATTCTCCAGAAGCTTTGATGGATTCAACCTGCGAGAAGGTGCAGAACTCAATAGGCGCTGATAATCTTGAAGCAAAGACTGTGAGACCAGGAAATATATGCATTCAATCATATGAAGGTGAAAGAAAGTACTTACTAAAACATAAGTTTCTTGAAGGTGATTTAATTTTCAAGTGAGAATGAGAAGAGAACCTTGGACAAGTTCAGGGAAAATGTAATAAACAATCTTACCTTAGGTATATTAGCAGTATTCCGCAACTCCTCTGTTCTAGTCAACTTCATGCCAGAGAAAAGTTCATAAATTAGGCAGCCTGCCATATAGAGTGCGAGAAAGAACAAAAGGATGTTATAAGGTACTTTGTGTTGTACAATCAAATGATTGTTCGTATGGAATATTGTTAAATGAATACATAAGAGGCAAGGCAAACAAAAATGCAGGGGAGCTGAGGTAGGTGAGACAACACTAGGATGTACTAATAATCTAATATGATATCCAACATAAAAAAGAATTATTTGTACATCTCCAAAAATGGCAATATGTGCCACACCAATCTTCTCCTTTCCAAGCAAAACAATTAAAAAAGGATTTGCCCATAATTAAATATAGGTTAACTGCTATATCCTCAGTTTCGATTTCACAAAAATGCCAAATATTTTCTTAATAGAATTGACTATTGGATGATTCAAACACTGTGCTCTATGTTACATATAGAGAAACTATACAGACAGACAAACCATACCACCCCCTAGGCCAGAAAGAATTTTTCAATAGTTGCCATGATTAAGTTTGAACCAAGTCTACACTGCTTTAGCGTCCCACCAACATAAAGATTCTGTCTTCAAACTACAAGTCAGTTCAGTCATGCTGTTTTTTTATAAGGGATGCTTGTTTTGGATAATTAGGGGGCTTTATTATAAGAAGGCTTGGTACAATTAAGCTAATAATCATTACAATAATCCATTCCCACCGGGCAGAACAAATTAGAAACCAAACACAATAATTTGGCATTACAATCGCACCCATAAGGTAAACATAGGTACAAAAGTTTATTTGCCAACTCACTGTCTATTAAAGTGTTAAAATACACTTACCCAAACCCCAAGAATCTAAAGCCCAAGGTGGAGATTTTCTGATGGTTGACCAATCAGATTTTGACAATTCCATTGGTTTGTATTGTGAGCCAATAAGCCATTCATATTGCTGTAGTAAAAATGAAATAAAAAGATGACAATTAGCCAGCATCTAATCCAGTATCAAGAAAAAGAAAAATGGGGCAGCACCTTTTCCATAATACATCAATAAAAAATGCTTATCAGATCGCTGATATATTACAAACTTTTCATCCAGTTGGTTAGTCATAACAACTATCTGTATAGTGAATAATATCAGGACATATTATAATCATTTCAGCATTATTCAGGAATTCAGGTTGAAATGGTAAAGCTCAAACATGATTGCATTAGATTCATATATATAATTTCTAAAAAAACTGCTCTCTGGATTTGTCAACCAACAGTTTGGTTGCATTTTCAGAAGAAATCCTTTGTTTTGCTTATTTTCCAATACTTCTCCTAATTTTTTTTTAATTTTTTTTTTTTTTCCAAAAACATTAGTTGGGCTATAAAGTATGCATACTACTTTGAGAAAACAAGGAACCCTTTTCAAGTAGAAAAAAAGACCTCCTGGAACCATGAGTGCAGTATATGATATTGCCCTAGAACTTCTTTCAAATTTACTGTAAGAAGGGATCCAAAATTCTCTCACTAAAATAATCTATAAGACAACAGCACGTGGATTATTTTGAATATTACAAATATGCAGGTAGCAAAGATTTTTCTTCACAGGATACCAAGCTGTTCGTTACAATTTTGTATCTAACCTTCATTTTTTCACCTTCATACCTATGCTAGATAAAGCCAATTGAAGTTTGTTGAACATTTCAATCAGAACTCCAGAATTGATAGACAAAAGAGAACTCACAAGCATTGGTCCATTCGAAGCTTCATTATTTCCATCGAACTCGGATAAAACATCAAATGCATGAAGCTTCCAGTCCAAAGTTTGTGTTACAACAACGCTAGCAGTACAAACATTACCATGAACCTGCAATAACCAGCATAGAAAACAAAATTTGGTACGACTAAATCAGGTTTATGGTGACTACGGATCCTCATGAAATTTCTCAATCTCGTGAAGCTAGATATATAGCTAATATTGATATATGGAGAAGTTCTGTTGGATCTTAGGCACATACCAGTTTACAATCATTGTTCAAGAAACTCACAGCTTTGGCTATCCGATGCAGTCCCCACGCATAATATTCATCCCTGATTTGAGGAAGTAAACCAATCAAGACTTTAATGGTCTAGAAAACATGAGGATACCCAACATATAAGCAAGATAAATTTTTAGATAACAACAATGAACCAAAATAAGAGATTTATTGTGAAAAACACATTCAGGATGAAAACAAAAGCTCATCAAACCATAGAATCATAAGCAGATTCAATATGCATTTGTAAACACAACCCAAAAAGGTATGTAATCATCAAAACGGATGCCAGAATAACGAGCAAAAAATAATTCAACAACATTTACACCTTTGACTGCCTTCTAACCCCAATTCCTTGAGCTTTTCTGAAAGGGGCATAACAGGCTCTGTCACAATGTAGATAACAACCTTTGTACCAGAACCATCCACAATTTCAGCCTCTGTGCTATGCAGAAACGACAAAATATTTGGATGTCTGACCTGAAAGAATATGAACGTAACTGTAAGCACTATAGAATCTGAGATCAGTGCCTCTCAGATACATGCGTTGATTTGACAGGCTTCATGAGCCTTTTTTTTTTTGGGGGGGGGGGGAGGGTAAGAGATTCAAAAAATAAAGATTAAAACCTTCAAAAAATATAAATAACTAAAACCTAATACCGATACTACAGGATTGTATAAAGTATAAACTGTTATACAAACTTGTTGTAAACAAGCAAATGACATCCTTGGGGTCATATTTCAACAAATCCTAATGCTACAATTCAAAATTGATCAGATGTATTAGATTTGCATTCTTCTTAGGAAGGCACCCTCATCATGTTATTTTTGTCCCTTGAAGTATCATTATGTGATCCAACTATTAGCTAAATTACTCAATCTCAACCCTAGCACATACAAAACGCCCTCAAAACTAAATAGGAAGCTTGAGCACGTTCAGATTCACACCACAAGCTCTCCACCGCACACCCCTCAACACACACATTTTTTCATTTCTTTTTGTTTGCTCTTTAGTTGCGGGAAACTGGATCAGGGTATCAGAAAAATAGCGCAAAGTTAATATTTCAAATTTTAATTCATGCAAAGCAGAGGCATCAAAATTTAAAAAAACTTCAGTAGAACGATCTAGTAATCAGAAACTAGAAAGCAAATTACAGGACCAAAATCAGATACATGCCACTGAGCAAAGAAATTGCTGAAGAGAGCATGCACGGAATTTCCTAAAATTTGTGTACTTCAGGTTCTTAATTCAGTCTCTTTCCTAGGCAAGCTTTGAAGTAGCCAGCATTGAAAGATCTTGGTTTGATTGAGATTGAAACTTGAAAGCCGCTTGAGATGTGAGTTTGGGCATCTATCCCAAAGCTAGCTTCACCCCTCTATGCTATTTAGTTCATTCCATTTCCAAGCAATTTTCATGAGAAAGATTACTTTTAAGTAGTCTACCCAATATAGGCTGTTTTCAAGCAATTGTACCGTCCCGTTGACACTCTAGCTTCTAATTTTCTGTAAACGCTGTCAATGGAATCCATAGTTGGCTATTATATATATAACATATGCAAGTATGGAATTGAGGTTACATTAATTTTTACATTTGAGAGAAAAAACATAGGGAGAGGCACCACCATTTACTGTCCATCTTCTCGATCTAGTGCATTTCATTGCACTGTGCAACAGATTTTCACAGTTTGAGTTTTCAGCTTCATGTTAAACTTACATTTTTCATCAGTTTGTGACATTTTTATGTGATTTTGGATTTTTTTTTTAATCAGCACATGATCCGTTAAATCCCATCAACCATGGTAAAAGCAAACACAGGGGCAGAAAATAAACTAGCAAATTCCTGGATTAATCATTGCAATGGAAAGTGATGGTAATCAATCAAGGATGGTGAACGAAAAAGCTAAAAAAATTCCTGAAGCCAGAAAAGATAAATAAAATTCAGAAGCTCACCGTTCGGAGACGCTTGACACCATTGCGGCCAGCAACTAAATGCCCATCATTGGCACTACTCCCAGAAAGAGAAAATATTGAGACAGGAGATCCATCATCCTGTCAAAGTAAAGACTAAAATCACAGACCTCTCCCATGATCCTGATAAAACGTTATCTCAAGAGCACCACTTCAGCAACAACAATAATATTCACAGCCTTCCAAACAAATCAAATCTAATAAACCGAAAAACATACGGCAAAGTTTTCCTTCGGAAATTCTAGTTTTATCATCTCTGAGAAACCATGCATTGTGCAACAGAAACATTGATCTCACAATTGTCAGTGCTCAACGACGCAAAATAGCGAGAAACATTCAAAAACCAATAGAATCAAACAGAATCCATTAACTAAAAATTACTCAAACACATGAGAATAAAATAAACCTTAGATGTTCCACGGTAGTGCGCCCAGGATCCCCAGGCTGAAGCGTACGGCTCTCCAATGGTATACGGCAGATCCTTGGGGCCCGTCCCCGATCCGGCAACTACCCCTTTCAAGAATTTCAACATTTTCTTTCACGTCCCGACCGATCAAGGTGAGAGAGAGTGGATCTGCTATGGGTTTTGCGGGAGAAGAAGAGAAGCAGGGGATTAATTGGAAGAATATTTCCCCTTTCGCATTAAAGAATAAATGAAGGAGATGAATTGAACTATATCGTTCTTAATCCTCTGCGTGCCGGTGCACTGTAAATGCATGTACCTCAACCAGTAGGAGCCGTTGATCATTTTAAGATTGACGACCACGATGTGTTCGTCTTTAGGCTCCTAATTACATACCTTATTAATTCATTCAATCTGATCGGATCCCTCTATTCATCGTCATCCGGGCGACCACAGTTCTCACTTCTTTCTCAGCCGCGCCGGTGTAGCATCGTCGCCTGCGTTCATCCGCTTCATACTCTCCGGTCGCGCCGTCGTCTTCGCTTTCACCTTCGCCTTCGTCTTCTTCTTAGATTTTTGGTGGACACTTTCTCTCACTCGGAGTTCCAATTCTCGAATTTCCGATGGATCAAGTGACCGAAGAAGTGGAGAAAGTCAAGAAGGATTTCGAAGAAACATGCCGTCAAGTGCAGGAACATATAGCCTCCATTCAAGAATACGGGAAGAAATCGAGAGTTGCCGATTCAGGCGGAGACGAAGAGGCGGAGAAGAAAGATTCGTTGCCTAGGTTAAATGGATTGGTTCAAGATGGTCTGAACCGGCTGAAATCATTGCTTTTCGATCTCGATCTTCTTGCTCCACAACTGCCATCGGCGGATGAGGCTGAAAGGGCTCAAGCTTTGGCTCAGTCTTGGAAATATCATATCCAGAGGTGACCGTCTGCATCTATTTGCTAATTCTTTGATCAGATATTCTTAATTTAGTCTTTGTAGCCACATCTTTTTAATTGATTAGTTTCCCCCCTTCAATGTAGTTTTCTTGTCGATTTCATAGTAATTCAATCAAATGATTCGTGTTTCAAGTTTCTTTTTATCTATGCTATGGAATTTCAGTTTGACGGGGAACCTAAGGAATGCACATTTGCAAGCAAGGGATAATATGAAGAAAGCTGCTCAAAAAGAGGTAATGCAAGTGTATACGAACATATATGCAATTCTTTTTTCCACTTGGATGCAGACAATGAGCAATTAATTTCTGAGTTAATTGGTTTAGTGATAGGAAATATGAATTATTTTGAGTGACTTGATATTATGCAATTGTTGAGACATTATTTGATCCATTTCAGAGAGAGCTTCTTTTAGGAGGCGGCGAAGAGTCCACGACACGGAGGAGGAATCTCCAGTATGTTTATAATGCAGTTTAATTATATTTTCTAGGCAATAAACTTTTGACATTGTTCAACATCAACAAGGAAATGATTTGGGGTAATTCATGGTTTTTGAAGAATATAAAGCAAGTACATTGTATTTAAAAAACATATATTGGTCAGGACAAAAGCTGGAATGACTTCTGCTGCAGAGAGCATCACAGAGAGTCTCAGGCGAACTCGCCAACTCATGGTTCAGGTTGGACATATCAAACATTCTAAATCTCTAATGTTAATATGGGTTTGTGGTTAGTAATGCAAGTTTATGTCGTTTATCGCTTTAATAGGAGGTTGAACGAAGTGCAAGCACTCTGATGACCTTTGGTATGTGATTTACTATAACAACTGTGCTCTTTTGCACTCTGAACGTACTTAATATCTTTGTGTTCGATATGCTTTCGTATATTTGCTGACTTTATAACACATTCATAAGCAATCTAGACTTTAGCATAGCAAGTTTAACTAATCCATACCTAAACAAAAGATCAAGGAGTAATGGGGACCTTGCAATATGAAAGGAAATAAGAAAGATGTGTTTACAACTGAATTTCAAATCAATGGTCATAAAACTTTCCTCTCCAGATCTGGTGAAAAAAAGAAGAGGTTGTAGTGAGATGATGATCGATATTTTGCCTTCACTTATTTAGCCTACTGACTGCTGTTGTTTTATTTCTCACTGTACCCGAATTGTTGTTTTTTCATTGTATGCCGTTGCCCATATTAGAAGACTCTTTATGTTAAACAATAACCAAGATTCTTTTTTCCGTATATTAAACTCTAGTTCAAACAATTGAGGCATGCACAAGAATGTTGTTTTTGTGGATTTGATTGAGTATATGTTGGTAGACCTTGTGAAATCGTTGTTGAATTCTAGAGCCAATATTTGTAAGAAAATGTAAGCAATTAGTTGTATGAACTGCATTCTTTAAGTGACTTAGAATTGTGAGTTTTTATCTGAGGTAAATGTAATACAAAATTTTGTATGATATTGAGTCGATACAAAGTAGATAATTTATTGCGACAATTTGAATGTTATCACAGAGGAATCAACGGGTGTATTAAAGAAAGCTGAAAGTGAGTACAAGGGCCATGGCTCATTACTTTCACGGACCCGAAATCTTCTCTCGACAATGCAGCGCCAAGATGTTATTGACAGGTGTGACCACTCTTTTAAAAATTTCAATAACGTAAATATCTCTCACTTATGCCTAACTTTGAGTTTTCTTTTGATAGAATAATAATGGTTGCGGGATTTCTTCTTTTCTCTTTGGCCGTGCTTTATGTTGTGTCGAAGCGCATTGGTATACTCAAGCTACAAAGGAAGGTAATCGAAGCAGTCAAATCTGGCACGGCAGAACAACTAATTCCAAAACCACCTGTAGTCGGTGAACAAGGTATGAATATTGTTCACCAAAATATAGTCCCCCCTCCCAATTTAGATGCACCACTAGAACAACCTTTGCACGATGAGCTTTGAAGCCTATACACATATTTGATACATATTGCCAAAACTTGCACCTTTTTCCCCTTCTTCAATGACTGATGCTCTGTAAGGAGAAACCACAATATCGATATGGGATCGACCTAGAACTTAGGAATGTTGCTATTATGTAGTTGTTGTGTAGACAAGGAGAAATGAATACAATGTGATATTCATTAGTTTGTTGTTATCGATGGTGTGTTTGATTTAACTAAGGGGATGAAACGGAAAATGTAAACTTCGTATATTGAACCTGTGATGCAACAATACGAAAACAATGCCTAATAGATAGCCAGTGCCATCTAGCGGTAAGCTGATCATTTTGCCACTTGTGAACCTAGTAGGATGATGTTTTAATGGATTTCTTAAGTTGTCTTCCTGTAATATAATTTATTAAATGTCCTACTTTGAGTAGGACATATGCATTAATTCGTTTTGGAGTTATTTTGTATGTTTGTGTATGGTCGAACATGTGCATACGTCAATATTGCTTTGGGTGTACATGATAAATGGTTCAAAAGTTTTTAAAGAGAGAGAGAGTTACCGTTCTGACTCATTGATTTTTTTGTTTTTTTTGGATGAGTAGTTAACTTTGTAATCAATTAGATACCAACAAGTTCTTTGTATTGAGCTGTATCTTATCCAAGTGACCATTTATTATTATTATTATTATATATTTTTTCTGTTCCATGATACTGTTGTTGCAGGTTGTGGAGGTCATTGTTGATTGATGTCAGATAATTCTGTTCAATCAGGCAATTTACTCCAAGATTATGTTAAGAATGTTCTGATATGCTATTTTAGTAAATGATCGTGATGCATTGATGCCAGATATGCTGTAAAGTCAACTAAAGATACCATATTTTCTCAATTTGCTAAATTTCATTGGTTATAAAGATTTAGATCCTGCATTTGTAGTTTCTGAAGCTGCAAGTAAAAGAAAGAAACATCAGTGGCTTTTAGTTGTAAGCGATAATAAGATGCCTAATGGAAATGTGATTAAATTGTGATTTTCTGTGACATGAAAAGCTTATTGCTCTTGATAACCGACTTGCTTTCTGGTTGTTGTGTACCTGCCTTGAGTTTCTGTTAAGTTTCGTGTCTGTTGTTGACTTGTTTCTATTTGAGGATGCCTAACTTTCTTCTTTGATTAGCCCCTAGGGGAGGGGGGATGGGGTTGGGGTATGGATAGGGGATAGTTTTCTGTCGCATCATTGTCCTTTTGGATTGGAAGTGGATTCTGGGGCATGGTTACAAATTATTTTGTGGTGTGATAAGCTTATCATCACATCTTTCTCCTGATAAATCAGTTCAACAAATAGGATTCTTTTGACTGTTTACGAGAACAGAGAATTTGACTCATTAGATTAGAAATGAGCTCTTGGGGTATGTTAGTTTCCTCTTTGCATATAATTAATTGACTAAAGACGAAAGTATGTTTCTTAATTTTATGTTAAAAGTTAGTTTCGAGTTTTCTTCCTTCTAAACAGTAATTCCATGGTAGCAAACCTGATATAACTCTGTTTTCTTTGGTTTCTTCAGTTAGCTACGGCTCTGTTCTGTAATTTCTTAAATTTATAGAATGTTACTGCTGTTCATGTTTTTCTGTCGTTGTTTAGATTAAATGTCCATTCAACTTTACTTTCTTGCCTTTTTGGTGGAGCTTAAATTGGTATGCTAATGAATTCGATATTAGTAATGAATGACACCGTGCAATAGGTGGCTTGTATGAAAAGAAGCATCATATCGATGTGTCAGCACTATACAAGGATTGGGATGAAGTTTCATGTCCCATATGCATGGAGTTTAAAAAAAAACCCATAATATTGTTATTTTAAAAAAATCCCAAAATATATGTATGCTAGTATAAATTGCAGAGAAGAGGGACAGGTGCCCTGCAGCGGGTAGTAATGGAGTATTTGCTGCCAACGTTGAGGGAGAAGAGAGCAGTCGATTCCCTCATCAGAGACACCTTCGACAAGGTCCTCGTCCTTCCCTTTGGCCGCTCCTCCGATGCCATCTGCCTCCAGTTAGACGACTGTTCAAATCAGCGAGAGATGTGTCCAGATTTGCTACGGAGGGTTATTGGAGGTGGATTCGGAGGAGATTCAGGTTTATGTAAAGTATTTTGATATAACATTCATCCCCCCCATTGTTTTCTTCTTCAATGCACACCACATGAAGATGGATTCCAGGTAATTGCTCTTCCTAATTCAATTTTTCTTCATGATTTGATTGGTTCCATTGCAGACTTTCGACGTTGCTGGAATTCTGTCCACGGATTAATCTGTTCTAAGATTGTGTTTATGTAATTGAGAAAGTTCATTAGTAAGATACCATTGTCTATGAAACATTGGGCTTAATGCGGCTTTGACATCACCGTAGAAATTATTTATGCATTAGGGTTTTTGGTTTGGTAAGTCATTCAATTCCTAATTCTTAACTATTGCAGAAGTACATTAGTGTCTTCGACTTCATTGATGTTGTGGAGGTATTCATATGTTGGATACTTTTATGTTGTTTCTTCTTATTTGAACAGTATCTGTGATTTCGAGTTCATGATTCTCATGACTTTTATTTTTTCAAATTCTAATACAAAACATCAAAATAGTTAAGGTTCATTATCTTGGAGAACCGAAAACATCAAAATATTATTGGGCGAATTTGTATGTTATGCATAAATCCTCCAAAACAAATATAAATCTCTGTTTTCTGTGTGCTTAGGAGATGATCTATGTAAGTATGGGCGAATGTTAAATTGTCAATCTTGATCAATGTTGAGTTCTGTATTTGATATAAAGTCATGTTGGTGTGTCTGATGACCATCGTAGGTGTTATAACTTGTATATGAAAAAGTAGTACAATATATAGAACTAATTCCCCCGCAATTTTATTTTTTAATTCTTTCTTCTTGCCAATATTTTAATGCGATGCAGCATTGATTAATCTTAGTGTTTTTCTGTTGATGTCTTTAGTATGTGTTAACGGGGCCTAAAATGTGACGATGTATTATTATATTTACACTATCTGACTGCAGGCAATATATAGAGGAGCAATGAAGGGAAAACTTATTATTAATTGTCCACTGCTTCCTGAGAGAATCCCAAAGTTTCAGTTGCTGTATATAGATGTTTAACAGGTATATTTATATCTATGTACCATGTAATCTATTTGAAAAGTCCATTTATTTGGACTTCTGAATATAAGGTCATAATATTTTGAATTTGACATGTTTTCCGAACTCATTGTTTGGAAGACAAACATATCCTGTTTCAGTGTGAGCTTGAGCTTGGTACTCTTCAATTGCAAACAGACTGATGTGGTCATATTTAAATTTTGTATGTATGAAAACGATTTAGTGGATATAAATTGGAATATTGGTGTTCCTTATTTGGAACCAGAATACAAGTCCGAGGTCATTGAAATATTTATGTCGATCATTCATCAACCGGTCGACTTAGAATTTGGAATCTCATACTTACAAGTGTGATATTTCCTGTCGAGAGGATAGATGCCAATATTGTAGATGAACTTTAACAGTTGGCCTTCACAATATGCTGAAATAGAGCATGTAAGATCTTGCAAGTAGCTCCGAGTTGCATAGCATTACTTTTTATGATTTAATGTGCTGCCATGCCGCATGTCTATAACTACTAAAGCGTTTTTTGAACTCTAATACTCCCTCCATCCTATTAAAAGGTTATTATTTTCCATTTTTATCCGTTTCAAAATAAGGTTATCATTTTTTAATTTAGTAATTGTATGTCTACTTAATATAATAAATACTCTTTCAACTTAAAATATACTACACAAATGTCGTTATTTTGGTATTTTTGTTTTTTTTTATTACAATTTAATATAATACTAATATTAAAAAATTTACTTGCAAAAAGCAAACGTCAACCTTCCAACGGAGGGTGTAATACATTTTTCAATTATTCCAAGTAGTTTTTATTTTTGAATGCCGTTGTCTCAAGTGTACTGTTAAGCTATCACTATGCATGATTCAAGAACAATGTTGTCTTCTTTTTTGTTTTCCATGTTTCTTTGTTTAGTTTAATTTATATTAATATAATAATTTTAATTATATTTTATTTATATAAAAATATAATTTTTTTTATACTAAATATAATTATAGATATATTTTTTATTTTTTTTATTTTTTTTACATTAAAATAAATGAAAAAAATAAGATTGAAATAGTATATCAGATAACATGATGATATATTTTTATAAATTTTTAAAATTTTTATTAAAAAAATAAAATAGTCTATTTTAATAAAAAACAAATCGACGAATTAGGTTTAAAATCAAAATCGAACGATAAATGTACGGACAACTACGCCCTCCAAACTTCGGAAGCTAGTTCGTCCCAGCCACTCCCCCGCCTACGCAAAGCATAATAGATTCATACCAATCTATCGAATCATACATTTTTCCTCACCGTTGACGTCGATTTCGATCATTTTGAAGGTTTTCTCACCACCGACGGGGACTCTGAAGGCTTAATTTTTTTCGGGCAGCAGCGACTCTCCGGCGTAGGTTTTTTCACCATCGACAGGGAAGCTTCGTTTTCCTCTTCTGCAATTTCGTCGGAGGTATACCCAATCCTTACACTATTTTCGATTTATTTTCAGAACTTTTCAATTTTTCAATGCAGCATACCGCTGTCATGAAATTGTATTTAGGGTTTGAATCGTAATTAATTTGATCTTCTTGTTATTTGTGGAAATGATGACACTGCCATGATGTTTACTTGATTTTGCTCTCTAATCTGGGTTTTTGTTCCCCACCTTATTCCATATCTTATTTTCAGCTTCGTTCCTCTCTTCCTGTTCTGTGTAACATATATATTTGATTAATCATTAGTTTCTATTTATGCTGCTTACATTACTTGCAAAAACATGATAAAGAAGCTTATGTATTCAGCCTGCTGTACACACAAACTACACGGTGATGATTTACTGGACGGATGCTGGTTTCAATATATATGTTTTACTAGTTGATTTCCTACATGAACTCATGCTTGACTTGAGTCATTTGATCTTGAAAGTATTGTAGTTTCTGAACTTGGGAAGTTATCAGAAGTGCTCTATTCTTGAATGCCAATAAATACATCAGAAGTGTTGGTGATTATGCAAGAACAAGGGCCTACACACACACACACATATATATATAGACACAAATGTTTTATTGCTATTGGCATTGGCTTGTGTTCTGAATCATAATTCATAGATAGGTGACAGAAAGTCTGGAATACTAAAAGCTGCACTATATTTCACATAAAATTTTCCCTTCATTTCAGCACCACTACCTAATATGTATATATATACCATCAAGTCATCCTGAATTATGTCATCATTCATAAAATAGGGATAGTATGATATTGGGATTTCTCTTTGGTATACATGTCTTTGGACACAATATCTTCTACCAAGAAAAGTCACATAATTATCACTATAAGTTATTAGGACTAAACCCATCAAGAAACCCCACCTCCCCCTCAAAAAATAAAATTACATCTTCCATTATACTTCCTTCTTCTGTCAAATTGATTCTCACTTTTCTTTTTAGTCCGTCCACTAAATATGCTCCGTTACTAATTTTGGAAAAATTAAAAAATCAACCTTTAACTATTACCCTTTATTTAACACTTCTTTACAACTAATATTATTACTTTTATTACATTCGATTTCTTCATTTTCCTTAATTACTAACTAAATTAAAAAAAAAAAAACCAAACAATCATTTTTTTAATCTCTATACTGGACTCAAATGTTCTAATTTTACTTGACGGAGGGAGTATATTTTATAGGGGAAAGTGTATTATACATATATGTATGTATATCAGGTAGCTTTTGCCTTTTTGTTGGTATGTTATTTGAATTTGATAATAGCTTCATTAGACATGTAGAGTACTGTGCTGAGATGTGTTTGGCTTTAATTCCTCTAATTACACTTTGCAGAATCTGTGGTGCAGGCAAAAGTAAGAAACGTGAACAGGTCAAATTGCAAATTAAATAATCAAATTTTATGCATTGATCTCATTCTGATTTATATTATTTTTGGTCATTGCACTTAGCACGGAAAGAATCTGCACTGCACAAAAGCAATATGTTGTCTGGACTCTGGATGACCTAAATCAGATGATTATTGTAATTGTCCTTTTCATGCATGCTCCCATACTCTCTAAATGTAATACCTCCGGAGTTGGGCCGGTATTAGGCCAACTCCCATGGATGAGCCGGTGTCAGGCCATCCGAGGTTGAATATAGGTTAGATGGATTAAATAGACTACTCATGTCAATAATGTGCACATTCCTTTTCGGGAGTCCCGTTGAAAGAACTTTAGTTAAGCGTGTTTACCCTAGAGTAATTTGAGGATGGGATCCAGGGTGTGTGTGAGTGAGGACAGAAGCGCGCTGGAAGGACTCGTGTTGACCTGTGGGGCCGGTCTATGATCTCGTCATGCTCGACTTTGCATAGCTTGTAGGCCGGGGTATCACACTAAACACACCACCAAGAACTTTGTAGAATGGTCAACACGACAAGAATAAGGACTTAAGTGCAGTCCACTGTTGTTGCACTTTCTTCTAATTTGGGTGTTGCCTTTCCCCTCTTTTCTTGTTCCATTTTTTATATTCATTTTTTGCATTTTCAATTATATATATAAATCGTACTATTAATGTTCATTAATTTGAAAGAGGTCAATATACTTCCACACTCAAAGGTTTAGTAATCAGCTTAAAACTTCATTATTATTGCTAGGGCTAATATCTCCCTCCGTCCTGAACACCTGCAATATTTTCAAAATAAGAAATAATTAAATATACTTAATTTCTATTTTACATTTTATTCCATCACATTAATCAAAATAAATGAATAAATAAATAAATTTACACTTATCTCTCATTATATCACCTAATTCTCAAATTGTAATACTTAATACTACCTACCTAAATTTTCTTGTTGAAGTTAAATGTTGCGCGGTGTTTGGGACGGAGGGAGTATATTATATTGGGAAATGGATAGTTGAATTTTGGAGGATTCACAAATAGACAGCGATGATAGACGAATTTAAGTCAATAACGTGGTGATATCATCTTTCCTATTTTAGTGTCTCAATGGTGAATGAAACTGTATGACAATTTCGTTAGCATCAAATGTGAAGCCGATGGTTAAAGTGTTCTGCTGATTGATACTTATGAGTCAATCACAAGTTCATTTTCTATCAACATTATATTCTTCTTGGGTCTATATTATATTTCAAGTTGAAAGAAAGGGGCTATTTATGTATGTTTCAGAATTATTTTGTTTATGTGTGCATGCTACGGTAAGAACATTTTTGCCTGATCGGTTATATCATGCAAACAAACATTGCAGCAGTAGTTTTTGTGAATATTTTTGGTTTATGCAGTTTAATTAATTCCACTTAATCATGCTTCATTAGCAGTTCATTGGAATGAAAATAATTCATTCCAATGTATCCGAAAACTTTCGTGTTATTTGCTTTAATTTCATTGTTATTGAACCATTTATATGATTTTATATATTTATTTATTTATTTATTGTGTATTTATTCCATCTATAAATGTGTGTAAAGTAGAACAGTTGAATGGTCACTTTTTCGCTATGTTGGTGGTATATATATATTGATTGCATTTGTGTGTAAAGTAGAAGAAGAAAAATGCAGGCTTGATAGTGGTGGCAAGAAAGGTGGGTTAAGTTGTAGTTCTAAATAGCACTGTAGGCTTGATTGTCGTTGTAGTCATTCATTGATTGATGATGCTTAAGTTAAATATATATATATATATATTTGAATAATATGCAGGCTTCATTGTAGTTGTAGTCATTTCTTGATTGATGATGATGCTTAAGTACACCCAATCTGTTTCTCGGACAAATACTATCAAGTTTCATCTTTTCACTATTTGGCATGTTTACCACCTGCTCTGTACATTTAACGATTTTGATTTCATATCTGAAATTAGGGCTTTGAATCATATCAACCGCACCGCCCCCGGAGAACGAGGACGAGGAGGTCACAGTAGCGATGTCATACGATGATGTGGAAATTGAGGATATGGAGTGGAGCGAGGTGCTCCAGGCTTACACTTACCCGTGCCCCTGCGGCGATCTCTTCCAGATAACGAAGGAGGATCTGCGAATTGGCGAGGAAATTGCGCGCTGCCCTAGTTGCTCGCTTTACATAACCGTAATTTACAACATGGAAGATTTCCAGGACAAGTCCTGCAAAAAAGTCGAGCCGCAGCCAGTCGCCGTCGCTTGAAAATTCTCAGGTTGGATACAACTTTCATAGATGAATCATTTTTGCACCGTGTTGTTTTTTGAGGAGTTTGGTTTATAATGTGTTTACAATTTTTACAATTGACTATATATTTATTTATACATAGGATTTCATACGGTTTTAAATACAAATTTATTGATTGATTTCACTCGATAATCAATAAAATTTTTTACTGAGTGTAGTTTTAGAGACAAGATTCTTTAGATTGGAGCTGAAAAGAGTGAGATTTGGTCCCCTGTGAATCCATTGATGTCAAGTTTGTTGTTTATTAACAATTATTGATTAACTTTTCTTTTCTTTTTTCTCACTTGTAAACAGACCATTGTGACTTTTCTCTCAAGCAACTTTTAAATAGTGAACAACATGAACTATATTTGTCAATTTTACTTTGTTTTATAGTTCCCTTTTGTGATTTAGGAATTCATTTCCATAATTCCATTATAGTTTGGTTCAAACTTTTTCAATCTTTTTCCAGTTAAGATGTGATTAAAATCTTAGTCGCAGCTTCTGCAATGTCAACTTTCATGGTTGCTCCTACAGATGATAGTAAGAATGAAATTAGGGCAAGAGAACTACACCCATTAAATTTTTTGTTTGATATTCAATGTAAATTATTATCAGGATCAAATTTTATTGTGCTGTGAATCTGCAGTTATCTATAGAAGAATACTCTTACTGTGAGTTTGGATCCCACTGTAAATTTTTTAGGTGAAGAATATCCTCTTGGGTGTATTTTCATATCTATAGTTTGAGGTAGGCAATTCTACTTATATTCATATGTTTGTGCCCTAGACAGAATAATTTGCTTCAATTAAGTGTTTGTTGATATGATTAATTATTTTGCCCAAATTATTAACTTTTTTAACTTTAAGGGTTTGTTTAGACAAGGATTTTTTTTTTTTTTTTTTTTTTTTTTTGAGGTTTTTGAAAATTTGGAAGTTAGGAAAAAATAAAAAATTAGTATTTGATTTGATATTTTGTGAGAGAAAAAAATGTATTTGATATGATATTTTTTTAAAAATAAATAGTGGCAAATGAGTGAAAATGTGCTGTATAAACAGGTATTGTAGTTCAATGTCATATGGTGCATCGCCTGTGTGTGTTGTTCGATAATAGTATTTTCTTATATTATTCAATATTACTATTTTTTTGTGTAATTGTATTTAACATTAAAAATATTTTTATATTTGTATATATATTTTTTTTACAAATATTTTTTATTATTAGTATTATAAGACACTAATAAAAGTATTTTTTCAATTTTTTTTAATTGTACTATATTTTGATATAATAATTAATATTCAAAAATTAATATGCAAAAAGTAAACGAGACTTTAGAGCCGGACGGAGGAAGTATTACTTTGTATCAAGGTATAGGCAATTTCGTTAATCTATTTGAAGTAGAGTATATTTTTAAATTTATGGTTTTTTTATTATTTTGTGTTTTTGTTTTGATATATTTAAGGGGAAAGTAGTTGTTTGCCATCATGTTTTGTATGAAAAATAAATATGAATATGATGTTTTTTAAGAGAATAAAATATTAAATAGTAAAATATTTTTTTGTTTTTTTTGGTTCATTTTGAAGTTTTTGGGATGAAAATAAGAGTCGGATGTGATGAATTGTATTGAAAATTGGTATATCATGTAATGTTTTTTGTTGGAAAAAAAAAAAAAAAGATAGAATAGTAAAAAATTGATAACAAGACAGAAGGAAAAACTATGCTATATTATTATTTCCTAAATTCCAGGTTGCAGGCAATTGATCAATTTTCTGATTAATTTGAGCTTGGGTGTGTTTGGCATAACTTCAATTTATATCAAATTATAAAAGTAAATTTAAAGGTTAACTTAAAAAAATATATATTAATATAATTAATAAATATTACAATGAAAAATATATCAATATGTATAAATGTAATGATTTATTATTAAAGTCAAATAAGAAATAAAATAAATTAAAGTAAAACAACTATTATGAAACATTCTAATATACTTATAATGTTTTAAAAATTAGTTTTTTGAAACCAACAAACTATTTTAAAAAATTAATTTATCAAATATTTAAATATTTTCTTTTACGGATCAAACAACTAAAAGCAATGAGAAAATATTTATCTATTTATTTATTTTTACGGGTCAAATAGTTAAAAGCAATGAAGTAAAAGTTCTAAGCTATTTTTCAACACTCTTAATCTTGTTTTGGGTGGACAAATGCATGCTGTTTAATTGCTGCCCCTATGCGTGTTTGTTTGGGGGATGGGCTTGGATTTATACTATTCATCCAATTTTTTTTCTTAAAAAAACATCAAATCAAACACTTATTTTTTATTTTTTATATTATACTAAAAATCAATTTTACATTCAAAACATCACATCAATACTTATTTATATCACATCATACAACTGTTCAAATTCAAAATTTTGACTATTGAAATCCTAACTCAAAATCCAAACCCCCGAACAAACACACCACCAATCTATGTGGTGAAGAATTATCCTGATAAATTGTCTTCATGGGCATAACTTATTGAAATATATATATATATATAATTTAAATGGAGATGGTGATGGTGATGAAATTTATTATTATTATTATTATTATTGTTTCTTTTATATGCCTATTTGGTCATGGATACGAGTTTAATTGTATCGGGGAAGAGACAGGAGTAGGAGAGTTGAGTCACTTTGCCATTGTATCGGACCGGGCACAACGAAATATATCCCTGCCACATCTAAACTCTTCATTTATTATTATTATTATTATTATTATTACTATTTTTTGTGATATTGGGTGGGGATATAATAATATTGTGATAATGCCATGGAATGCAGTCATCTAATCCTTGAGACCTAATTGTTCAATTTGATTCGGCCATTAATTTTTGAAAAGAAACTGTTTTCTGGTTTAATTTTGAATTTGAAGCTAACCCACGCACCGTTTGTTAAAAATTTTGGGAAAAAAAGAATAAGATTGTATATTCTCAAAAGTAAGAGTTTACGAGATATATATAGTAGTAGACTCAGACCTAAATTTAAAAAAATAATATATTGAAATAATATAAAAAAATATCTAAATCTAACATCCTCTCAAACTCAAGATAGGGCAGTAAAGATCAATTTGAATTTGTTCAAGAGTAACCGGAACCGGCTTAGAAGACTAGACTTGATGAAGATATCTGTTGTTTGATCTGCAGAGGATACTGGAACGAGATGAACTCCCTAATTAACAACATGATGTCGAATTAAGTGACAATCAAGTTCAATATGCTTAGTGCGCTCGTGGGTCATCCTCATAGCAATCTAACTATCACAGTGAAGAGCCGTAGGAGATGACAGAGGAACACCCAGACCAGTGAGTAGTCGTCGAAACCATTAAAGTTCTGAAGTAGAGTCAGCAAGAGCACGATACTCTAATTCGGCACTCGAGTGGGAAACTAAAGTCTGCTTCTTGTTGTGCCAAAAAATGAGATAATCACCCCGGAAGAAGTAAAAACCAGTGGTCGAACAACGATCGCTGAGATCACCAGTCCAATCAGCATCAAAGTAACCATTGAGAGTCAAGGACGAGTGAGAGAAGTGTTAGTCATGCAGAAGACACATTTCACATAACGAAGAATATGTAAGACAGCAAAGTGGTGAGAGTCTTCGGAGCGGCCATGAACTGATTCATAATATGGACTGCATAAGCGATATCTGGTCGAGTGACAGTCAAATAGATCAAGCTCCCAACAAGCTGACCGTAGAAGGTAGGACCATCAAGAAAAGAACCATTGTGAGAGTAAGTTGAACTTCATAGGGAAGTGGTGAAGAGATTACCTGATAGTCTGTGAGACCAGCTCGAGTAAGAAGATCAGAGACATACTTAACTTGGGGCAGAAATAAACCATAAGAAAAATTAGAGACTTCAAGCCCCAAGAAGTAACGAAGGGGACCCAAGCTCTTTATCTCAAACTGTTGGTTAAGATATGTCTGTAGATCAGAAATATCAAATGCATCATCTCCCGTGATAATCATATCATCAACATAAAGCAATGGTATAACTATCTCAGATGAAGAACGACGAAGAACTAGGCTAGAGTCGTAAGCGCATGTGGTAAAACCTAACTCCAATAGTGCAACACTAAATGTAGCATACCAAGCCCAAGGGGCTGCTTCAACCTATATAAAGCGCGATGTAAACGACAACCCTTTCCAGAATACGAGAAACTTGGAGAGGGAATCGTATAAAATTCTTCAGAAAGTGTGCCATGTAAGAATGCATTCTTGACATCCAACTGAAGAAGAGACCACTGATGAGTAGCAGCAACTACAGGAATACAACGAATAGTAGTGAGACGAGCAACGAGAACAAAAGTCTCCTCATAGTCAACTCCATACTTTTGGGAATAACCTTTGGCCAATAGACGGCTTCTAGCACTCAATTGAGCCATCATAATTAGTCTTAATTTTGAAAACCCACTTGCATCCAATAGGTGTCTTGCCAGAGGGCAAATCCACTAAATTATAAGTGTGAGTCTTTACCAGAGCCTCCAATTCTTCAGTCATAGCTTAATGCCATAATGGATCAGCACTCACCTCACAAAATGACCTAGGCTTATGATGAGATAATATGACAGAGTAACAATGATAATCATGCAAGTGAGGAGGAGGGTGACTCACTCTATGTGTTCGGCGAAGTATGACAGGTCCAGGGACCGCAGGTGGATCAACATATGAAGACAAGGTCGGAGGTGGATCAAAAGCCTCAACTTAAGGTGGATCATAAGCCTCAACTGGAACATGATCCAAAGACGGTGATAGAGCCATAGGATCAGGATCAGGAAACAAGGGAGAACATGCTGATAGGAAGGAAGGTAAATCAGGAACAGATGAGACATGGAATTTAGATAGGGTGGAAAACATGATACTCTCCAAAAGGTAACATGACGAGAAATACGCAACTGTTTAGAAACCGGATCCCAAAACCTAAAAATTTATGCTTTGACCCATAACCAAGAAGACAACGTACACATGCACGAGGTTCTAATTTGGAACGTTCATGCGGAGGAATAAGGACAAAACCAACACAACCGAAGGGACGAAGGGTACTATAATCGAGTGGTTGACCATATAGACGCTCGAAAGGGGTGCTATTATGGAGGACAGATGATGGAATACAATTTATGGTATAGACAACAGTGAGAGCGGCTTCCCCATAGAACTTATCAGGACAAGAAGCAGACCAAAATAATGCACGAACAATATTTAGAATGTGACGACGTTTGCGCTCAGCACGACCATTATGTTGAGAGGTGCATGGATAGGAACTCTGAATCAATGTACCTTGAGCAGAGAGAAAACTTAATAAGGTAGAATCTCTATACTCAAGGGTATTATCAGTAAAGAGGGTCTGTATGGGACAAGAAAATTGAGTTCGAACAATTTGCGAAAATTGAATGTATGTTTAAGGTAATTCTGAACGTGT